ATAATGAGTAATCAAATCAGCTAAAATGATCTTTTTGTATTAAAACGATTAACTTGCAGAACGTTGAATTTATTTTTTAACCGAATTGATAACAGCCCGTTTTTTAATTGTTTATACGTATGCACCCAAATAAATATAAAATAATTCCACTTATCCTTGTAATTAGAGTTTGGATTATGAAAGTATTACCTTTTATTTTTTTCTGTTGGTCGAAAACCTAGCTGTGTCTGCAGTACATTTTTTTTATGCTACGTAGAATAAAATTAATTACGTTTAATTTCGCTTTTCATTTTTTATATTTCTACTATTTATTAGCGTTTAAATGTTTTTTTTTTACTTTTATGTTGTATTTTTTATAACAATACTATAAAATATGTCTAAATATACATATTTAAAATATTTAGAAATTTGATATTTTTTTATGTCCAAGTTCGTAGCTCAATCAGTTATATTTCGTAATATTTGATTTAATGGGTTAAAGAAAAATACTTGGTTGCATTTCATTACATTGAATCGTTTCGTATATTGAAGAAGAAAAATTGAATGATTACTAACTAAAAAACGTATCGAATAGATATGAGGGGGTTCAAACCCTCGAAACTATATCTGCAGTCTTACAAGGTAGGTAACATCAATAGAACGACTTCCGGAAGACATGACATTGAACGACTTGATATACTTCAAATTCACGTCCATGGTTTCAGTAGATGTCGAGAGGGGTTTCTCAATTATTAAATCATTTCATCAGATTTCTGACAAAGTTTTGCATTAGAAAATACTAAAAACTATTAAACTTTCAATCAACCCCAGTTTTCATTCGTAAAAATACTTTCTGTATAATTTTAAAATAATTATTGTACCGTGTTGTATATATTAAGCATTAAAGAATAAAACAAAAATAATACGTGTGTTTTAATTTTACTACGGGTTTTTTTAAAAACCGTTAAAAAATTTTTTTTGAAAAAAAATATTGGTGCTTAAATTTTAGATTTTAAGTTTTTTATCGTTGTATTTTAGGTGCAATGCTAATTTTATTCGAAATTGACTGATTATTAATCTACAGAGTTATTTCACATTTTAACCAAAAGTAGCGACTTTAAAATATCATTAAGACTTATAAAACCATAGTTGTTTAAAATCGTTTTACTTATCTATTACTCATATCGGACTAACGATGCTCGTAATTCGTCTAGACTACCACAAATATCGGACAGAAAATAATACGCGTTTCTCACCACCACAATGGTTATATGGTTCTGCGTTGTCGATTCGATGGATCCACGTTCGTCCGCGGCGATACGTATCGCGTTGTTATTCGAGAACGAGACTTTCGTTACTGCCGTTTGAACCTTTGATATCGCTATCGTCATTGGCTCAACTAGGTGGGCGCAAAAGAGTTTTAATAACCCTGAGTTCAAATTAAGTGGTTCAGTTTTTTTTTTATTCAGATGTATATAATCTATAGATCACCGTCCACCGCTCGAAAGACCACTCGACGGGTTCGCGTTCGGTTTTTTTTTTCTTTTATTTCTCTCTCACTCCCGTACGTTTGTTTACCATTATCCTCGTTCTATTTTTGTTTATTTTTTTTTATCGTACGCAATCATCGCACACCGGTATGTTATCGTAATACGTATACGCTGTTCTCGTAACAAGCACAACCCCGTCGGTAACGGTGTGCGCGGCGGACAGCGTGTAGATCTAATGTTGTGTTTACGCACATATACACATGCGGTGTTCGCTCTCTTTGCCACCGGAACGGCAATGCGATCTTCTGCCGAGACGATCGTGGGCGAAAAAAACAAACATGCGACCACCGACCCCGTCGTGTATACACGGAACACAACCGACGTTTAGCAGAACTTGGCCGTCGTTTCATCGATTTCCAATTGGTTTTCCATTGCTTTCACCTGCTCCTCCGACCCACCGCTGTGATCCCTGTTCCATGTATGTTTACTCTTGAAGGAACGTTGTCGTACGGACAACGTGAGGGCCGACGGTACATGTTTACAACAACCGCAATCCGCGTGGTCTAGTCACGACGTGCTCGCGAAATGGATTCGACCGGTGTTACCGTTCGTACGTCATCAAGCACGCACGACGCAGCAAGATCATAGCTCGGTTTTTTTTTTTTTTGTTGATTTTTATTCATTTTTAATGCAAAATATTGCATACTAATGTAACGTAATACAGCGTATTATGAGCCCCGCTGAGCAAGCTCGTGCGGGGGCCCGTAAGTCTTCTTAACTATATCAAAATACACGTTTTATCATAAGAAGTATAAGAACTTAACGATTTAGGTGAATGTAGCTTGTTGTAGTAGCCACTGTGTTAATTTTAATTTGAGCTTAACGCAATCTGAATAATCTCGTAATTCGTATGATAGGTTATAATGAATATTTAGACCAGTGTATAGAAAGAAGATAAGAGTATGAGTATATTTATGTACATTAGAGGAGATAATATTATTTAATTTACCACTGATGCTAAAATTATGGCAAATAGGTTTAATTTGATTATTTTTTATTAAAAAAGTAACTGTTTTTTTTTTTTTTTTTGTAAAAATGTTTTTTCTTGGTTAAAATGTTTAATTCCTTGAACAAGTTACCAAAAACAAAGTTTCAGGTTTTATTTAAGATTATCCTTAGAATACTATTTTGTTATTTGGAGTTTATAAAGATTGTTTTTATTTGCGGCGCCTCACAGTGACCAGCCTAGAAATATTTTTATTTTTTTTATTTTTGAGAAGGTTAATAATTTTCACTTTACAGGAGAACACAATAGTCAATATTTATCCGTAATCATATCTGCGACCGCAATTGCTTTTATTATAAAAAATGACCTTGGTGGAAGTTTTTGAAATTTAACTTAAATTATATAACATATTTAAATATTTATTGACATTTCGGAAGAGGTTTTAACCGCCCTTCGACACGCCCCTGGCATCTCATGTAATTATGCCATAGATTAGTGTTCATTGTACAAGTGTCTTATATGCTACTTTAGTTTGATTTTTGTTTAAAATAGATCAAGATTCTAAATTGTTTAAAGACGTGAGAGAATTTCCTTATTTTTATAACAAGGAGTTAATATGCTCTATCTATTTTAGATTATGGGATATTTCTATACATAAATATATAACGTTAAAATTAAATTATTTATATACTATCACAAAAACATAAGTTTAGGGTAGTAAAATCATGCGAACGTAATAAAAAATTATCAATATTTGAGAAGTCTTTTTTAATTAGTTTTTGAGGTACCTAAGTTAAAAGGTAATAGTGAGAGACGTGCGATGGTATATTCATGGCAAGCGTAAGTTACCTACACTATAACCGTTGATAAAATTTAAATGATCTATAGATAAATAAAAAAATGTTAAAAAAATTATTCTTCTTTTCCTACCTTTCAACTTACTGAAATCAATTATTCAGGCAGTCGATTGCAACGTTGATTTTGAATTTGAGATATCATATGCATTTTGCAATAATTATATAAGATATAAGAATAATATAGCATAATTTACAAATGAAAATTATGATTATAATAATTTACGACTGAGTAAGATTTTACATTCGGTAGATATGAAATCCATCTTGTGTAACTGAACAAAATGTATTTCATTATATTTTTTACCTGGATAGTTTAAATATTCCTCTTAATACTGTACGAAAAAAAAATACACGTGAGCACTACAGTTTTTGCTATTATAATTATTAATCATATTAAAATATTGTTGCTATCCAAACTGAATGGGCTGAAAGTTTAAAACTTGATGAAAAAACAATCATATAAATAATAATATTTCAAACGGGCCCAGGTGGATTTAAAATATAAATTAACTCTATGAAATCAATAACGTATGCTTTTTACTAAGACGGAGAAGAGCGATTGTATCTATACATATATATTATGAAATAAAAAAATATACAATATCGTATTGTAATATCGTATATTGATTTGTTGACTTACGAGATTAAGAGAAACTAATCAGATTATTGTTTGATTAAATAGTTGGGTAGTAAAAAATTGAATCTGTTCAGAAAAAATAAAATATTAGACTTATTTAGATAACTTAATATTTAAATAGAGTTTAAGAAAAGAATTTTCTTGATAATTTTTATTAGTTTCATCAAACATTTGATTTATACAACAATAAAACGAAAAATTTGTTTACAACAAACAAAGGTTGACGTGCATATCGTAAATTGTACGGATTTATTGTAGAATGTATTCGGTAGACTATCGGTGATAGTCTTCCGAAAAACTACGCATTCGAATTTCAAAAGTCGATCGATAAGATAATGCATACTTTTTAAGGCACTCATATCGGCTACTCCCGAAAAGAAAAAGGAGGTAATGTCTTAAAGCACTCATCGTTGTGAAACTGAATTCGTTCCTTGATAATAGGCTCCCTAACATAATTTGTGTTTACTATGGGACAAACCTTTTATGCTACAATGGGACGAATCTTTTATGCTAAATTTATTTCTTCGAAATTTCCATCTAGATAAACGATTTTTTGTAAATTAAAAAATATCAAAAATCATGAAGTATACTAAATCAAGCAGTTGATTTTCAGTAAGAAGAATTTTATAAAAAGGCTCTGTATTGAAGTTTTCTAAAAGTAACAAAGTTAAAAGTAAATTCAATAATGAACCATATGAGTAAAGTAATAGAAATAAAACTTTCGATCAGCAATTAAAACGGCAAACCGCACAGAAAAGAATGCTTTTTTATTCAAGCATGAAGGCGTAATAAGTAATATATTATATGGATGAAAAATTATGTGATTTATTTTGAAAGTCTAGTAATCGTCCTATTGCAGTGAAAGTTAAATGTAATATTTTACAGCAGCTTTATTTTTGTGATATCCCGAGACGAATCGCTCCTCCCATGCTTCCGTTCGCCTATATCCACACCTATTATCCATAGGGTCTACCATGTGTCGAAGTGCTATTGAAATTACATGTGATTTATCTTTTCTTTTTCTTTAACAGCGCCAGAACGAATTTTCAAAGTGATCGTCGATGACAACGATGACGACGACGAGGACGACATTACTGAAGGAAGCGGAGGTGAGCTGAACTCCACGACATCGGTACCGACGACCAGCAGCGGAGCTCCATCGACCGGTCCAAAAATGTGGCCGACCGAGATCAACATCACGTGCTACGCCGCTGGCATGCATCCCGAACCGTCCATGAACATCTGGGTGAACGGAGTGTACGTATTCCTTCAATAACAGTGCACGAAAACAGTAGTGATTGTTTGCCGTGTACAGGGTGAGCCACGTAGTGTTATGGTGGCACCAGCGCAACCAAACTAATAGTTTTGGGGGTGCACAAATTATGAATGGTTCGCAAACCCGCAGGGGTGTAACCCTCGCCACTGCAATTTTATAATAACACCTCGGGGGGAGACGCAAATGGTTTGCTGTGTGCCCTCCTGGTCGTGCCGATGACGCAACACATTTTGGAAAACATGATGGCTTACCTTGTATATATTATACACTCTATGTATGTGTATTGCTGCATTACATTAATACAATTTAGTGATTATGTAGAAAAAATAAATTAACCATTTTCAATTCATGCGTGTCATTTGTGCGAGGATACAAAACATGAATTTGATACACATTGAATTAATGGAAACTCGAGAGTCAACCTACCTAATATCCGTAGGGACGAGATTAGAAAGTTTTTATATATTGACAATACGGAACGGTTTGTGGCATTGATTCTTTAACCATTGAGCGAGCTTGTGCGTTAATAGTCTTAAAGTATCATTTAGTTATTACTTATTCCTTAATAGTATGAATTTAAGTGTACTTGAGAACGGATTTCTTTTTTCTTCAGTTGTTCCGAACAAAATGTATGATAGGCAGGTAGTTTTAGTGTTGATTTTACATTTTACATCAATAAAACATCTACAATTTTCTCGAGAACGTTGAAGGATGAGAAAAATTTGTCGAAAATATTTTTTTATGTGATACAGAAGTTGGAATATTGGTATTTTTTTTTATTCATTTTCATTGACGATAATGAGCCATCGCGTCTAAAAACTTATTTTAACCTAAACTGATAATGTGGAATAGATTTGTTGATTTTCAGATGTTATGAAAAACAAATATCTTAAGTATAAGACTTTCAAGGAATTTTATTATTATACTTGGATCAACCTAAATTGTATGTCTTTAAGAATAACAAAAAAAAAACAATAATTTAAATTACAATTATTGTTAAAAATATTATATAAATTATCTACCGCTATTATTAAAATATTGTGTTTTGCAAAAACGAACGGGAAAAATGTTATGATTAATTTTATCATAAATTATGGATTTAACCTTGCATTTAGTTTTCACTTTAATGAAATCACATCATTAAGTTAAATTTTAAATGTTATCTTTATCGTAATTTTTTTATACAAATTACCATTGCATTGTGTAAAAATCTAAATTACTATATTTTGTCGTAATGTCATACATTTTGAATTCACATGACTTCCCAATTCAATTTTCTGTAAATAAGTAAGTTTTTATGAAACTTCGACGACAGCCTTAAGGTTAAAAAAAAAACCAAGGACAGACATAAAAATCGAATCGTTGTGCAACCAATAAACACCTCTCCGAGTGGTCGAATATAGTTCCTAGCTATCGAGACTTTGAAAATGCAATCAAAAATGTCTCGGGGGAC